CAAGAATATTTACTAAACTTTGTAATTATAAAATGAATTTTGTCGTTGATATCGTTGAAGGCGCGTGCTATCGTGCCGGTTAACGCCACAGTTTGGATGACGATGCAGGCATATATCCCCATAAAGAAACATTGCCGTCGTCATCATTTTTTTAAATTAATAATTCTGATTTAGTTCATTGACTTAAATAAGTTTACAAAAACATTTTGGAAGATTTATTAACCAAATTATCATCTACAATTTGCAAAGGCAGGATTTATTCTATTGCGCTGGTGCATTTGAAAGTTGAAATTCAATTTTCATGTCGACAAACTAAGAATACACTGGAATTGTCAATAAAGGTATCATCATATTTGATTGAAGTTTTTTTAAAAAAAAAAAGAAAGAAAAAGCATATTGAACGATATTTGCAAACCAAATTCAATTTTTATTATATGATAAATCCAGAATTCTTTGATTTGAAAGACTGTACGATAAGTCAAACATTTGTATTTTTTTCCTTTTTTTTTTAGAAAACACAAAATTATTTAATGTAATTAAAGATAATACAAAATATTTTATATAGATTTTAATTAAATTATAATAAAATAGTGATTTATTAGGAACTTTTAAGTGTTTTTGAGTCTTATTGGCTCATCTTTAGGACATAAATTATTCCAAAACGGACAGTTTTCTTGCAGGACTATTTGGAACGGTTTGTTTCCGCTCGTTTCGACATCTATCACGCCAGTAAAGCATGATTTTAATTAATAAATCGAAGAGAAAATGCAAAAACCGAATCAAAAAGACACAATCAAAGTAGCTTTTTGAATCTTTTAAATATCCTAAAATTAAATATGCAATACTTTTACTTGAGAATGAAAGAAAAACATTATCGAGTCCATAAAATTTATTATAGAAAACAATCTTAAGTAGTTGAACTTTCATCCCGGGTAATATCGAAAAATTAATCGCGGTTATTCTCAAAAATTTCTTTCGGATACGGACCGCGAACAATTAAAAACTCTGGACGTAAACAATTTTAAAATAATAAATAAAAAATTTTGTTCTTTGATTCAATTTTTAGTTTCACTCTAATTATTATAAGTTTTTAAAGCAGGTTCTTACTCACTTCTATAGAAAATAGAAAAAACAAGTGTTTACTATTTAAAGTCTTTTCATAAACTGGATGATATAACACTTCAAGAAGACAACCGTATTAAATTTAAATGCAAACATTTAAGGAAATTGACGAAACAAACAATCGCTGGATTAAATTCGGCAACATTACCGCTACTATTAATTAGTTTGGCTTTAATATAATTATTGGGCTTCGAGACATTCGTATACGAAATTGATGAACGTTTTCGGCCTCGTTAATAGGCCGGCTTTGGATCAGATTTCATAAAGCTACGGAATTCGACATTCAAATGTTATATAATTTTTCATTACAATAGAACGCCTGTGCATTCTAATAATTGAGCATTACATTCTATAGGTGTGTGTGATATTTGACCCGAAGTTATCAGTTAACTGACTTTTGCGCCTCCTGGTATATTGATTTTTTAAAATGTCCTTAATTAGAAGTGCTAAACTACTAGTACATTTGATTCTAAATTGCATGTTATTTGTGTGTTTACTTATATTAACAACTTAAATTTTAATGACAGTTATTAAATAATGCATTCGATAGAACATCCCACAGTTATTATTATGATAACATTGTAATAAATATTTAAATTTAAATTAGAGTTATTTGTAATCGCTTGCCGTTCGTACGATAACAAATTTCGGAATCGTCGAAAGAAATAAATTACTTTGTTAATAATAAAACTCAAACAAACGAAAATAGTTTACGTAAAAATGTTACCGTAGATGTTAATGAGTAACGTCAAGTATTTAATTATGATAATGATGATACATTTTTAAATATTTAGTTAATACAACTGAGTAATTTATGTTGTTTTAAATGAAAGAACAAATTATTGTGTATAATTTAGTGTCATTTAAAACTTTTACCTTACAAATATGCATTCTGAATATACTAATTAAGATAAAAGAATACTCAACGTCAATAATATTTCAAAGATTGCAATAAGTTTCAAATCTGTTATTGTGTGAATGTGCTTGCAAAGACAGATTGCTAAGAAAAATGAATACTTATAGAACAGAGATACAATTAAAAGCAAGGGAAGCGGTATGCGTGCACACTATAGTAGACATTTTGAAGCTTTAGAGGAAAATATGTCTCATTCTTTTATATATTGTCATACAGATGACACATGCACAGAAGTTAGTGGCATACAGGGCGTTAATAAATAGTTTCATAGCACGCACCTCAGATATAGAACTTAGGAATTCCGAACTAGAGTTAAAGAAATTGCTTTCAAACAACTCTAAACCTCATAAACAGAGTTATTAGAGTATCTCCAAGAAAGCGGAGAAAGAAGAAAGGAATGCAAACCAAGAAAATAATAGGTTATGGTTGTAAAAGGCAAATAATTGAGTTGGTGTCTCCCTTTTACTAAGAGAACTTAATATCAGTTAACAGTACAGGTAAGTGCAGATTAAGTGTTCTATCTAAGTCAGGTGTATACGCAATAAGGCCTCCTAAATTGAATGAAGATTATTTATACATAGGATCAACAACCAGATCAATTGAAACAAGAGTTAGAAAACATTACAGGTCAGTAGCCAAAGCACATTCATTACAAAGAAGATACTACCGTTGTGAAGTGGGAGTGGCAAATGTTGATCACTGACACACACAGACATATTAAAGAATGCGGACTTTCATTTCCAATAAGCCCACTAGAGCAGTTGTACCGTACATTTACGATTTATCGTAGAAGTTAACCGTTATAAACACAAAATATGCAAAGGACTTATACGAAAGTTGGAAACCTTTTCTAGATAACACAGATTTCTAAACCAAAAATTGTTCAATTAGTGCCAAGTTGCTTAAATTTCTGAGGTTCCAACTTAGCCTTAAAAGTCGAAAGCAGACCCAAGTTCTAGGAGGAGTCTGGAACCGTAGAAACTTCCGGATGAGTTACGGGTCGACATCTTTACTGTCTCGCCCATCTGGCCATTATGTATTGTTCTGTTTGATGTGATAATTCTTTAGAAAATACTGGAAATGTTTTCGTAAATATAATTTGCATATATTGATTTGTTGTTTGGTTAATATCTAAATGATTTAATTAATTTAAAATTGATTACATTACTTTAAGCATTTTATAATTATACCCACAACTTTTTTCTCAATTTTTAAAGCTGTAAGAATTGCTTCGTAAACATTTTGTACGACTTACAGGAAGGAAACAATGAAAACACTTTGCCGAATCGTTATGTAGTGAGAAAATAGTAAAATAGAATAGTATTTTCGTAGAACAATTTAAAATATGTTAACTGTTATAATTATTTTTATGCTATTACAGTTAACTTTTAAGCGCGACTAGTCAATCTTCTTTTTCTTTTTCTAATTAGAAAATTATTCTCGGTCAAATCCACAAAATCTGCTTTATTGGAGTCGCATCCATTCATAACAACTTCCTAAGTACTTTGAAATTGACTAAGCCCGTCTTCGGGGAACGTATTACCGAAAACGACGGACTTAGTCGGCCCGAAAGTACCTAGGAGATTGTTATCAAAGAAAGTCATTTATTACATTTGCGACTAAGTATGGATTTGGGTGAGGGCGCAGGGGCACGTGCGCCTCAAATTTTGCAGAATGCACATTGCAAAAGTTAAATATACTCACAAATGCTTTTATATAATCTAATTTTATACATAATTCTTATTGAATTGGCAAGTAGTTCAACTAAGAAATTAATATAATTATATGTGGTATCCCTCTTGCCATTTCTTTCTGGAACTGCTCTTCAATAAAGTAGATTTTTCTGTAATTTATGAAAAGTTGGAATGTTTCTTTAATTTATTATTCGTCGTTGTTTTCATTTCTCGTACAAAGAAAAAAAAAGACTTATTAATTACCGCATTAGTACATTTTAAATGAAACAGTATGCGTTACTGGCCGGCTTATTCAGCCGTTATTAAAGTCACTATACCAGACACTATATTTGTCTGTCTTTCGAATTAAAACGTTACACAAATTAGATTAGAAATTTCTACTTATTATAACACTCGTCCCGGATAATGTCGCAGTCCACTAATGTAAATTGAAATGATTAGAAAACATTTAAAAGCCCTTTTATACCTATATTAAATTACCAATTCTCGGCCAGCGTGCCACAAAAAGTCCTTAGCGCAGAGAAATTGAGATAATATAAACAAATAATAATGAATTTTTAAACAAACGCCTATTCCGAAATACCCAGAAACAACTTCAAATTATTTTAAAAAGGTAACAATAACAAGGGGCGAGTTATCGTTATACTTTAGCGTTTCCCATTCAAACCACTGCTAAGTATATATTACGAATATTTCTTCTTTAAAGTGAGAAAATCCAATAACTACAGACTTTCGTCTTTGCGCCATAACGGATAAACTAACAGAACGACCTTCCCAAACTATCCGAAACCTTTAAATTAAGCGGACGAATGAAATAGTCGAGTAGTTTTATTGAAAATAACTTCTTCGGAAACACTAATAGGCCATAAAACTGTTCTATATATAAAGAAATAAAACTCCAGATCAGTAATTAGATCTAACAATTTAAGTTTTTAATATATAAATAAATTCTCCTGATATGAATACATTTATGACTAAAAATATCAATGTTTTCTGCTTCAAATACTATAACTTAAGTGCTTTTTTATGTTTAAAATATACTACTACTACACTCTTTTTTAAATACCAATTATATTCTTTACATACATATATATATAAAGCTTTAGGGTGGCCCAAAAATCAGTTAACCATTTGTAGACACTACAAATTTTTGGTTAACTGACTATTGAACCACCCTAAAGCCTTGAAAATTGCTTTATAATCTGATAAATACTGTATTAGTTTTAAAATTATAACTGGTTTTTTTTGTTTTCTTTTCTGTTTTGCAGACACCAACAACAAAGGGAACGTGAATTAAAGCTGAGAACTTTAGAGGAAGCTGCCAGAGGTGGAAGACCACCATTGAATTAACATTAAGGGACCTGTTTAGAAAGATTTAGTGCATTATTTTATCTGTGAATGGACGAGAGAGAGAGAGAGCCTGATAAATAGAAGAAAATTAATAATAATATTTAAAAAAAAAATATATATCTATTATTTCTTAACCTTTATCCAAGGTAAAGGGTGATATTTAAACATCATTGGGTTTTTTTTTTTTTTTAATTTTTGTTTCTATTTATTTGTTATTACAATGAACTAGAGAAGACAACTAAAAGCTACTACTACTACCATTATTATCACTCATTTGCTGCACAATACAAAAACTTTACTTACTGTAAGTGGAATTATTTTAAAGGAAGAAAAGTGTATATTTTATGCTGTCCGCGCGTCAAAGTCACGTTTAGTTTTTAGTAACATAAAAATAGAAAGATTAAGTAAATAATCAATTCTGATGTGATTGAAAAGCAGACATTTCCGTTGGAAAAAAGGGGAGAAAATATGCAACATTATTCTTCTTCTTCTTCACCGAGAATTGGTTTTTCGAAGATAATTAGTGTGATATATGTACTTTATATCTCAGGTAAAATATATATATTAAAAAATATATATATGCCCTCTTTCCAAATTAACAAAGAAGCAAAACCCCCCACACACACAAACACACAGGAAATTTGTAGTAAGAAAGTACTTACTGCACAAAATTTGATTCTCTGTTTTCCTATATAATTTCCTAAGGAGATGCATGGAAATTTCTGCTCTTTCAAAGAATAAAAAAAAAAAAAACAAAGGAATTTATCATATCTTTATATATATATATATATGCATTTATTTGCTTATATTTAGGAAAAATACATAGTGCAATGTATTATATTCTTGTATTTTCCTTTGTTTTAATTAATTATCCCCCTTCCCCTGTTGTACAGTATAGTTAACAAAACCAAGGTAGAATTTATGAAGTTAATTTTCAGGAATGTTTTATATATAAAAGGGAAAAAAAAAGGCCTTTCTTCTACACCACTCTTGTGTTAATTGCTTTTTACTCGAAAATGACAAGATGTATTATGGCCAAACAATAAAAAAAAAACACTCTTGAAGAGAGAGAGAGAGAGAGTCAGTGAAGTTGCACAGATTTGATGTTTGAGCATTCTTGCCTTAGAACCTTGTTGAAAATAAAAAAAAGAAAAAAAACACACACACAAACAAACAAAAAAAAAAGGATATTCTCTGTGAGTTAGCGAGTTGTACTGTATACAAATGTGAGTATTGAGTATATAGTGTTGTTTGTCAAAAGGATTTTTACTGCCACTGAACGGGAGGGTGGTCGTAGTCATTGCTTTGCACAATAGGAAACAGTATGCACCTCAAAAAAATATATATATATACATGTACCTGAAGCACCAAATAATTCAGGTAAATGTTGACGACTGCACCTTCCCTTTAGTTATTATATTATTATTATTATTATCATCATCCTGCCTGGTTTTTTTTTTCTCGAGGGTAGGTCGAGTAGTCACCGTGCATACTGTGACCCAAACAGGGAATTTCTGCACAAACATGTAGTATTTTTGTATTTAGAGCTTTTTAGACGAAGACTGCATGGCTTTTGGTGTATATGTACATAAAGCAAAAAAAGTGGTTTGGGCTTTCTGTGATTGCATAATTAATCCTTTGTAGAATCATTGCATGTAAAGTAGTTTTATACAGTCCCAGACAATTCCCAATGTTGCTGTTATTGTTGATTGTGAAGTTACTTTAAATAAAATTGTACAGATAAAGTGTCAAATGTGCCTTATTTTTATTACACCCTTACGTGTTGTTTATACACACACACCGGATCCCGGAAGACATTTCTTCCCTATTAAAAATTTAATTATCTAAATGCTTTAATAAGGACGAAAAGTTCATTAACCAGGGCCCCGAAGGGCGCTACGTGTCGAACACACCCAGAGTATTATTTCTGTCTCGATAATGATTGTGTTTAGCAGCGGATAAAGGAACGAATACTCCATTAAAACGGGATTATCGCTCGCTCTCTCTACCCCCTTTTCTAACGTCGTGTTTATGTATAAAGAGCGTTGCAGCCAGCCTAAACCGCGAGTTGTCACCAGCTTTTTTTTTTTGTATTGTTATAGACACTACGATCGATTGTCAAAGGGCGTTCGACTTAGAGAGATCGAAGGTCAACCCTCCACCCAATCTATATCGTTTTCCAATTGAATATATCCGGAGGATAGAATGATCACGTCACGGAAATGCGGTCTACACAATTAATAGTTGGAAGAAGAAGAAGAGGAGGAGGAGGAGGGGATCGTTAGAATCTTTTGAAAGTGGACTGGCGATAATTATTAGAGGGGAGAGAGAAGGAAAGTAAAAATTGATTAACTCTGTTCTAATTCCGGAATAACACCGAGGGTGGCCCGAAACTCGGTTAACCGTGTATGTTTTTTTTTTCGCCGCATTCTTCGCTCCGTGCGTAATTTGATCGTCTTTTTTTAATTAAGAGGTAGAAGAGCCGTTTGCGCTTCTACAATACAAACAAATGGTAAAAAAGTTCAATTATTAAGTGAATTAACGAACGGTTTAGTAGTTAAGACGGACAGAAAAAAAAAAACATAACGCACGTGTGGGGGGAGAGGAGGGAGGGAGCGCGTAATCCATAATACGTTTCGATTTTAAGAAGAGAACGAGAGAAGAACCTGTTTACTCTCATCGATCCGTCGGTTCTCCATTTCGCTGGGGAGGAAGCGCGGATCGATCCGTCTTGAAACGCGCTCTGGCGGTCCGAGCTGGCAACCCTAGTGTGAGTGTGTGTGTGTGTGTGCCAGCGGCAGGAGACGACGGCGACGACGACGACGACGACGACGCTTGATACTAGGATTTTTTTAGTCGACGCGTAACCTCTCTCTCTCTCTCTGTTTGTTTTGTTTTTTTACCTTTCTCTCCCTCACCTTCGTCGAACGAACGAAATCAACAAGTATCCGGGTGATCCGGTCGCCGGTTAATCGGGCGACAATGCTGTCCTGTTGCTGCCATTCGCATCGGGTGAGTATACGTCTTCCTCCTCGACTCCTAGCCCGGCACGTGCTGCTGTCAACCATTTGCTGTTCCTTTCTCGTTTCGAACCCGAAGCGTTTTTTTTTTTCTTCCCCCCTCTCTTTCGCCGTCTTCCAAAGATAAACGAGAGGAAGGGGAGGAGATCTTCGCCATCCTTCTAGCGCTATGTAAATGGTGAAACCGTGTTATTAGAGATGCATAAAGGGTAAGAGATGTTGCTGCTTTCGATAACTCGTCTTACGTCACAAATATCTTCGTAGACCCCCACCGCGGACAAGAGCCGATTGGACGAAGTGGCCAGTCCGAACCTCCATTTATGCGCTCGTGTTGCCCAATTTCATTCCTTTCTTCCTCGTCCCCTTTCCCTTTTCTTCTTAAACACGCTTCCCTCCTCTCTTCTCGTATCTCTATCTTCGTGCCTGATCGGAAAACGCCCTTTTCCATCTTACTAGGGTTGCATGTTCGCTTGTCAGAACGGAGAAATCTGCACCGTCACGGATGTGACATACCCTTTTTTTTTTTTCTTTCTCTTTGCCTCTTCCTCTTCTCTGTACTTTACAGATTACACAATAAGGATTTTATTAAAGTGGTGGTGCAGTTTGGGAACGTTTAAAATATCATCCATCCCCTCCCTTCCCCTCTACAATACGTTTCTCCTCCTCTTCCCTAATCGGCTACCGAGGTGTGAAGATGGCACCAAATGCGGGCGCGCGAGTGACGATGATGAGTTGCCCTCCATCGATCCGCATATTCATAAATGCGGTAATTAGTTGCCAAATGAAAAACATATTAAACCACTTAGCCGAGCGGATGTCATTAGTACTGGAGACTTTGCACGTTACTCCTCTTTGCACACTAACGAAACGGGTAATAATTGATTCCGGTTGTCACCTATACTGTCATTTATTAGGCAACGATAGCCATTGTCATAAAACATCCTCCACTTTGAATCTAGTATGAAGGAGTGAGCGTGTTCGGTGGAGGATCTATTCCTAACACCTGTATTTTTAAGTAATATCGCACGATTTACGTAAGAACACTTTCCTCGCTGCGGTATGCAATTCTTATCCTTTGAAATGAGTAGGAAACAGCCCTGATTGACATCCTTTCTCGCTACCATAATCGGGTCGCCACCATTCTTCCAGAGGTTGGATGATAGAAATCTTCTATGTGTGCAGTTTTATTTATTTATTTTTCGTTCCTGTCGCTGACACACGCGTCACGAAGAACCGAATTCAATCGAAAGACTTCACGGAAAAAAGGGTGGACGGGGGGAAAACATACAATTGTCTCGTTTAAAAAACTTAATAAGTGGCACAACAGGCGACACTTATTTAACAAATCTCCTTCTTTTCATACGTCCTATCGATCGAGGATATCTTACTTATCGATACACAAACAGAAATAATCTAACACTCCTCGTCTCAATAACGTTAGAAGAGGTTCCTGTGGTTCTTTTTTTTTGTGTTCTCTTATAAAAGATTCGAGATAATTAATGGCATTCCCCCGCATTTCTTTGACAGCTTTTTCTTTCTTTCCTCCTTTCTTTATCCTCCTGACACTTGAATTTTGGCATCAATCCTTCCTTTCAGCCACGCATTTTCTTTCTTAAATCGTAGATCGACTCGGCCCATTTATTTTCGTGGAAATAATCTCCCATTAAATCTTTATTTAATAACCGAAAGGAACGTGACAATGAAAACGTCAAAATCCCGGATGTGTGACAGTGATGATGCCACGATTGGCCATAGTTTCTGAGGCCAATCAATTCCGATCGAAGTAGGTCACGGGGTCTCTCTCTCTCTCTAATAAATAACATTGCTGCAACTTCTGTCTCGTATAAATCGTTTAATTGTATATCCTTAACACAGTGATTTTTGTCGTAGGACGCTAGTCCTTCAAATTACTTGTAATCCCTCTCGATGATTACCATAAAAGTGTGCTGTTAATGGAGTAAACCACAGTAAAAACCTCTAGAGATGGGCATCCCTTTAGATTTGGCTAGCATTTAGCACGTCTGGAGCACCCCTCTAAATTGGGCACATTCTTATGGTATACCATTTAGAGAGATTTGCCTGTGTTTTCTTTATTTATCGTAAGTAAAAGAGGATGGAAAATTACAATGACGTGACAACCCGCACGTAATTGTAACACGGGTCACACAAGGCTTGGATTAAGTTTCTGTGTTATTGAAGCTACGCACACCATTGTTTTAGTCCACAAGAAACGAAGAATTTCTTTAATAATCTTCTTTGGCCTTATTAAACAACGTGATGTATTAATTAATTACGGTGACAAAATCGATTATTTAGCATTGTTAATATATATATATATATACGGTGTTTTTGGAGAATAAATCGAGTATTTGTTTGATATAATAGGAAACAACGGTACGATATCGACTGGTCACTCCTGGAAAAATAAAATGACGTACGCTGGAAAATAAACATACAACACGAACTATAGCGGATCGTTTATTGTATCGTTCAATCAGCCGGAGTGGGGTGACAATCAGGAATAATAGGGACGACGAAAAACCCGGAAAGTTATACCGAAAGAGCGACTAAACAATAACTAAAAAGGGTGCAAAAATTAACTTGTTAAGTGAGAAAAATGGTGCATCTCACGTTTTCCTCCTCCTCCTCTTCCTCTTTCTCTTCGATAATCAATTTCTTATCGTGTTCCAATTTCGTTTAAACGGGCGATCTTTCGTCATAAATTTTCACCGAAAAAGAAAAATAGTTCTTTGGATCTCCGCCAAGGCGCTTCCGGATGCCGACGTCACATCCGGTCCGCATCCAGTCGCCAACATAAACACGTATAAGATGAGGATGGCGGTTCCAATTTTCGAAGTGTCCACAGGTAGAACAGATGCATGTGTGTGTGTGTGTGCCGGGCGTATCGTCCAAGCTGGAATGATGCCAACGTGCAACAAGCTTCCCATACGTTATCCACCCCACATTAATGCCTCTTTCCTTCTTCTTCTTTTTTTTTCTCTCCCCCCTCCTCCCCATATTTAAATCTAAAAATACCTTTTTCCTATTATTACTTAGACTGGCTGGTGTGACAGTTCTACCTGTCGTTATGATAACAGGTGTGTGTGTGTGTGTGTGCTCTCTTTTCTCTTCAGCTGTCATCCTCCACTAATTTTCTTCGGGTATTCAGTCGAATCTTGTCATTAACTCGGCGAATATTAATGGTCTAAAGTCTCCATTGTTAATATTCTAACTCTCTAAAGACCTGTCGTTTCGTTTGAACGACGTTAGTCATTATTTTCCGTTTTAGAAACTGATAGCGTTGGGGTTTTTCTATGTGT